GTCTGTCCTGTAGGGTTGGTATCAATCATGACGGACTCGATGGCAGTGAGTTTGGTTTTTGGTTTAACTTTATTTTCTTACGTGGCTTTTTGGGACATAAAATTCTTGCTTGATCATTTCTTTCAGAATTTTTTATGTGTTATCTCATAATCCTGCTGCCTGCGTAGCTTCTGATGAGAAATTCTCTCTTACTGTTTATTTTCATAGTTAACATTTTATTTTTTCCTGCGCTGCTTTCGGATCCTTTTCCAGTCTGGGATTTTGTAAAGTTATATGTCTTGGTGATTTTCTTTTGGGGTGCGATCAGGTTTGGTGTTCGTTGAACTTTCTGAATGCATATATTCTCGTCTTTCTTTCTTTTCATACATGCACGGGTGTATTCTGAACAAAATATATATAAATATGTGTCTGTGATCGGTGGATGCCTACAGACAAGTCCTCTCAGTCATACACTTGTCTTAGATTCATTAGACAATGTCAGCTTTTAAAAGAGAGAGTACTTTTTGTGCTATGGAAACAATATCAAGAACAGGGTTGATATCAGGTGTTAAACAAAACTCAAGTGGACATCTTCCCAACTCGCGGAAGCTTCTATTAAGTGTACAGGAATGCTGACCCCCATTGGTGCTGGTGTAGGTGCCATCAGGTCAGTTCTGGCGTCTAGTGACCCGGTAATGAAAGCCCTCTCAGTCTTGTGCCGTTCTCGTAGGAGCTCTTATGCTGGAGCCCATTGTTGAAGCGACTAGATCCATCTCGTCAAGGCTCTTCCTCCTTTTCGATGCCCCTCCACTTTACCAAGTATGCTGTTCTTCCACAGCGAATGGCCTCTCGTATTCTTGTCTTTCATGGTATCAGGGTAGTTTTCTTCTAACAAATCTTTGACAAATTTCTCTATGCTATTTATTTTTTCATCTCTTCCTGTTCTGGGATTCGATCTCACACTTAAGTTATTCCTCTTGATACTGCCCCATATAACTCTCATGAGTTCTTTTGTTATTATTATTCTTTTGCTCTTTTAAAAATCTTCCTCTATATAGGTTCCCAAATTTATTTGTCCTGTCAATCCCCTTTTCAGAAAAACATGTTTATACTCTAGCCCATATTCCAGGATTCGAAATCATATCATCTGAAGTCGAAGGAGGGATTAGAACTAGAGCCTAAATTGTGAGAATCTGGCTTGCAGAAGGCTATGGATGACAGTGGGAGCCCAGGATTCATTTATGGGAACTACATAGGAAATTAGGCCCCAGTGATCTCCCTCTATTCACAATTAAGGGGAGGATAGTGGCTACTAAAGAGAGTGCCTTGGGGACATGATTATAGAAGGTCAAAGGCATAAATCCAACTTGAACAGTTAAACCCTTGTCAGTTGATCTCCCACTCTGATGCATGCTGGACCTGATTTGGCTTTCAACTTTTTCTGTATTTTTGTTTTGTTTTTGTTTGTTCATATTAGGGTGAATCTCAGAGTTGTTATGTCATTGCAGGTCACCTTCTTTGAAGTCGTGTTAACATGGTTTTCTGATTTTTGGTGTATGAAACCCAGGACTGCTGAACCTATAGGGAGAGCAAGTAGAATTCAGGGTTTGGGGGCTGGTGGAGAGGTGAAAAGGAGATGCTGTCAGTGAGTCCAGGAAGAAAAGGAGTGTTTGAATACTGACCATGGTAGCAGTTTTACAATTCTGCTTGACGTGACTGAACTATGAAATGATATGATATGTGTATTAACTCCCAGTTAATAATAAATTTTTTAAAAATGTTTTTACTTTTGCATCCCCTCGGATATTTCTACTGCCCACCAGGGGGCAGTATCTCTTGCTTTGTGAAACACCTTTGTAGCAGATCTGTACTGACAAGAGCTGTCTGATTTCCCTAATTTTGCCTTCCATTGATTCTGCTCTACTCTGTTGTCCTTTCAATGCTTTATCTAGTTCTGAAATTTTAGTATCAATTGTCTGGATTTATAATTCCTTTATCTTTTTGGTATGCTTTCCAAATTTTATTTTATATTTTAATTTTGTCTTTGAACCTTGGTTATGCTGGGCAGAGATCCTCAAGGTACACAGTTTGAAATCACCAGCTGCTCTTCATTAGGAAACGGCGTGTTCTACTCCCATGATGAGTTAGTCTGGAAGCTACCAGGAGCATCCTAGCCGGCCCTATTGGCTCCCTGTGCATCAGCATCCACTCAGGGGCAGTGAGTTTGTTTGTTTTTGGAGTGCTTTCCTGAATTCTTGTAGAGGTTTGAGTGTTTTTCTTGATTTTGTTTGTTTTCGTAATCTTTCTCTCTATCAGCTAAGGTATCTAAACATTCCTCGGAGTTCCTTGTCAGATAGTTCCACTGCCATTTCTGGCTTTCTGGCTCTGGTTTGGTCATTTGTTTGGACAACTAACTCTGGCTTGTTTCTCTGGTTGTGAGCTTGTGTTCTCTTGCTTCTGAGACATTGTAGTGTTGTATTTGTGTTGAATTGGTTGTTTGTGCTCGTGTTTTACTGTTTTGCTCCTTTTGCCTTTCGTGGTTTGGACATATGCGGGGCAGTAGGGCAGGTGTGTATTGCGCTTGCTGACGTGGCTGGACTTAGGCCCTCACCTGGTGCTCTTTGGTGGGTATTGTATAGTCCCATAGTGTGTGCACTCCTCTGTCTGCTGTTTATGTCAAGCAGTGGAGGGCAGATTTAGCTGCCGGTGATCAGATCATGAAAGAGGGAGTGGTGGCCCTTGTCTCTTGCACGTGTGGCTGCAGGAGGGAGGTTCAGAGGTGACTGGGAAGTGTGGACACAATGACTGGTTCCTGTCTGTAGGACAAAAAAAGAGAGGCCAAAGAAAAGAATGACAATCAAATAGTAAAAAAAAAAAAAAAAACCCCAAACAAAAGAAGACCAAATAGCAACAAAGAAGAAAATATTACATTAAAAAAAACCCCTAAGCGGTATAATCAACTACGGTCAAATACATAACTTTTACTTAAGAACAAAGGAAGAAGATAGACACTAAGGAAAAGAGTAATGAAAACTATGAAGTTGGACAAAAGAAAATAGAAAAATAAGTTAATTAACTATTGAGGGAGGTGGAAGAAAAGAAAAGAGAACTAGAAGAAAGGAAGAAGTCACCTGAAGAAGGAATGAAAGCAAAAGGAGAGCTTGTTTTAAAAGAAGAAAAGAGAACATTGGTTGTAGCCGGGCCTCCTGGCTGTGGTTTTGGCACAGAGGAAGTCAGCGGAGGACAGGGCACTTGGTACAGGTCGTCACACTGGACCCATCCAGGGGGCCATAGAGGTAAAGAGAGTGTGGCGCTGGCTGCCTTGCCCCGGGCAACGTTTCTGCTGCCCTGGCAGGGGGCGGTCTGTGGGCACCTGGCTCCATCTCGTGTGTGTGGCTCTCTGAAAGCACCAGGACCCAGGACACGTGATCATGGAAGGTGTTCTTAGAGAGTGCAGCTGAGGGTGGGTCCTGGTTTTGGAATGAATTCCTGCCACTTCTGAGGGTGGCTGTGGTCAGGTTGCCTGGCACTAGAGGGGATTGCAGGAGGCACTGTCTGTCACGGCACATTCTGTGGCCCAGCAAAGGCTGAGAGTACACAAAGCCACATTTCCTATGTTTTGCACAGCAGAGGCTGAGTCAGGGTGGGGTCGCACTGGCCATCAGGTGGGTAAGGGTGGGGGCTGGCTATACTTCTGGTCACCTGGATGGCGTGGGGAACAATGGGAAGAAATCACCTTTCTGGTTACCAGCCACAAGTGCTTGCTTGCGCGTTTGCAGTTGTGGTTAACATGGAGCCAATTATTAGCTTGCTGCCCTGATTGAGCACTGCTTGTAAAATGTTCGGGATGACTGCCCTATGTCAGTTCTCTTTGTACCTTTGTTGCTAGTTTTTTACCCCCCAAGTTTCTTCTCATTGTCACTATTCAGTCTACTTCTCTCTCCTTTCCTGGGAAGTCAGCATTCCTGAACGAGCATTCATATCTGCTTTATTTGGTCTGTTGTGACTTTGTCGTGGAGAAGCAGGATAGCGATATGCCCTAGTCCACCATACTGTCTGAAGCCTCGGCCGCTCTCATCTGTAAATATTTCGCCAGAGTATTCGTCACTAATCTTTAGTTTAACTTTTCAAATGGCTTGTTGGCTTTCAGTGTCAGGAAGAAGAAATCCATCTTCATTGATCTAGTTTGGGTTGTTTGTAGACAGAGATGGCACTTAAATACAAAGCATTAGATAGCCCTGGAGCTCAAGTGTAGGCTTCACCTTTAACATGATTTAAGGTCAATGTATGAAGTTGATGGTTTCAACACTGACACACCCATGGCTCCCCTGATTGTGTGTCAGCCACACTGACATCTTCCTTTGGTTCATTTAAATATCCCAGGTAAAGTGTTTACACTTTGTAAGTTTCTACCTTTATGTATTTGACAAGGCGCTCCATTTTTCAGATACTGGAGGAGCTCGTTTGCGAACTGGTTGTGAAACAGTTGAAGCAACATCAGAACACAATGGAGGACAAGTTCATCGTGTGCTTGAGCAAAGTTGTGCAGCACTTCCCACCTTTGGTCGACAGGTAGGGTGTCAGTCACAGTACATTCTGTGCCCAATGAGGAGCCGGTCCCAGTTCACAAATCACATTCACTTTCTAGGTTTATAAATGCCGTGTTCTTCCTACTACCAAAATTCCACGGTGTGATGAAGACCATGTGTCTCGAGGCGGTGCTTTGTCGTGCCGAGGAAATAGCAGATCTCTACTTGAAATTAAAGAGCAAGGACTTCAAGCAAGTCATGAGACACAGGTGAGGGCCAGCCACCATATTCGTAGATTGAATAAACGTTGGTTTGTTAAGATACCTCTCAGCTCGTACAGAGCTTGTACGTTTTTGTGAAACTTGTATTTAATAAGTTAGAATATGAGGAGGCAAGGTGAAGAAGGCATGGGAGTTTGTTATCTCAGTTATGAAGGATAGAAGTCAAAACCAGAGTGCATGACGGGGAGGATTCTCCGCTATCTCAGTTTCCAGTGGGTGCTGACAATCCTTGGCGCTCTTGGACTCGTAGACACCTCTGTCTCCATCTTCACATGATGTCTTTCCCTGTGTGCACGTCTCTTTGTCTCAGTTTCTGTAACACATCACCAAGAAGGAATTAGGTTTAGGGCCCACTCTACTCCAGTAGGAATCCATTAACATGATAAAGGAAAGCTCTTATTTCCAAACAAGGTCATATACCACAAGGTATAGTGTCTAGTACTTCAACATATGCTTGCTAGGGACACAGTTCAGTCCAT